TTTATTTATTTCTGTTTATTTTTATTATATTTTATTTAAATATTTATTTTTATTTATTTATGTATGTATTCATGTGTTTATTTATTTGTTTGTTTGTTTATTTATGTGTGTATTTTATTATGTGTTCATTTATTTATTTATTTTATTATTATTATTTTATTTATGTGTTTATTTTTGTGTTTTTTTTTTTATTAATTATTTTCTTTTAAAAGATTTTTTTATAATTTAATTATTTTTTTATGTATTCCCTCATCTGTACGGGGTTAAATTGTTGGGGAAAGCATTGTCATATAAAAAATATATTGAAAAATCTTAAAACTAAAAAAAGTAAAAAAAAAAATAAAATAAAAAAAATAAATGTGTAATGTTTAATAATAAAGCAAAATGTGAGCATTATTGAAAACACCCATTATACTTTATTTTACACTGTTACATTTAGTTTAATGAGTATATAATCCCCTCAAAAAAATTTTGTGATGATTGCATTAAAAAAATCACCATTTAAGGATTATTGTGCATCCATAAAATACTAATTAATTGTCATTTAAATCTTTATACTTTACTATCATCCTTCTCCCCGTCACTCCATAGCTCTCAGACCTGTTGAAATGTGTCTGTCGCTGCACATCCAACCATGATTAATCGCAATGATTCATCACGACTGCGATCCTTCCCCCCTCCCGTCACATCAAACTCGGAAATTATTCAGTGCCCCTTTCACCGTCGCCCGAGCCCGGCACCAAGAAAAAAAACGCCTTCTTATCTATGCAATTTCATTTGCATCATTGTTGCAAATATAATGACAGGACTCCCGGCGTCAGCGTTCAATATGCATTAAACAATGCGCCTGGAAAAGAACCGTCCTGTTCCCGGTTTAATTTTAGAGAAAATAACCTGCGCACCTCATGGAGAATAAAAAAAAATGCATTGGGCGTCAGATGGAGATAGTGGCGGCAGGCCTCGGGCTGGCCTTTATTAAAGCGGGCATAATGGAAAATGGCATCATTAGCATTCCTTGACAGTTAACGATTCAATTTGGTTTGATGAGAATTCAAATATTGGCTTCCCGAACGCAAACTGACAATAAAGCGGAAGATGCCGGACTGATTTGGGATGCAGAGGGCAGTCAATGGTGGACCGATGCCATTGTAATCAGCGCTTGCTAATTTCAAATAGCCGGTGGTGTGGAAGAAAGAAAAGGCGATGTATTGTTTTGATCCGGCTTTTATTGTTAGGGTAATGTGGCATATCAATCGAGTTTAACGTTCTTACGAGGAGGAATGAATGAAACTTCTTGCTCTAAATGAAACTTTTTATCTTGTTTGACAAACGCGACGTGCAAAAGCCTTCAGCGACTCTGCTCAACAAGAAACCAACTGCAGCATCAGGAAAAAATGTTCAAGAGGTTTTGGGAGAAGTATTTTGAGGAGATCTGCTCCAATAGTCATGTAATGAAAAAAGTCTCATCTAAAACACAGTGGCATTTCAAACATCCAACATAATGGTAGCACTTTAGTTAAAGTAAACATTCTTAGGGATATCAGAGACTTAATTTACATCTTGTAAAAAAGCGGCATAATAGGTCTATTTTAATGAATTAATAAGGTTTTTTTATTAATATACGTGTCTAAAATTAAGATTTGGCTGCTAAGTACTTTTGTATGAATCATGATTCGTTTTTTTCACAGGTCTTTGTGGTTACAACTAATTTGTATTTCAAATTTACTCTAACTGGCCACTTTATAAGGTACACTTTACTAGTACAGGGTTGGACCCCCTTTTTCTTTCAGAACTGCCTTAATCCTTGGTGTCATAGATTCAAGACGTTACTGATAATATTCCTCAGAGATTTTGGTCCAAATTGACATGATAGCATCACGCAGTTGTTGCAGATTTGTCGGCTGCACATCCATGATGCGAACATCCCAAAAGTGCTCTATTGGATTGAGAGCTGGTGACTGTGGAGGCCATTTTAGTACAGTAAATCGCGGTCTCCAGAAACGTCCGCGGGGCTACGTTTCCAGAATGAGCTTGGGTTGGCAATGTTTACAGTGCTGGTCATACTTCTGGGTTTCTTCCCACTGCAGCCTCGCTTTGGTTCTGTAAAATGGCGGATGCGTGAAATAAGCGTATAAGAAACTTTGCAAGTACATGTCAACTTACACTAACCCCAAACCCCAACCTAACAGTCTACTTATAACCTAATAAGAATTAGTTGACATGTAGATGCAATGTAGTAAATACAACAAACAGACTATCTATATAAAGTGCGACCATTTCAGTTAATAACATTGCCTTCAACTGTATATGTCCTATATGTACATTGTGTGATAAATTTAAAGTGTCTCTATTGATTAAAAGTGTTCAGATGTAAAACGCTGTGCTGTCTGTGACGGCTTTTCATACAGTATGTTAATGCTGTATCTGCTGCTTACGCGCTGGTTTTGTTCTCAGAGCACATGGGAAAGATGGCTTAAGGATTTAAAGTTCTCCTCGGCTTTCCTTATTGTCAGCTACTGTAAACAATCCCATTGTTTGAGCAGGATAAATCACCACCATGTTGGTCTAAACTGGCTCAGATTTCATTTATGCAAACAGAGATACAAATTGCAGGAGACAAATCATGGATGAAAAAACAACAATAGCGACAAAGCAGAAGTGCGTGCCAACATGACTATGTGTAGGGGTGAAAGTGTATAAGCAAAAGAACATTAAAATACAGTAAAATACAACATGAATGACACCATGTGCAAGAGGGCAGTAAAGAGACATTATAGGACAGTATAGGACATTATAAGACAGTATCAATGGTGGTAATAATATTAATAAAAAATACAAGACTAATAAAAATACATAAAAAGGAAACAATTGTAGAATGAGGGAAATAATTCACGGTAATGTTGATGATGATGATAATAATAATAATAATAATAGTTATTTTTCTATTTTTTTATTATTATTATTATTATTATTATTATTATTATTATTATTATTACCACTTTATAATAACAGCAACAACAACAACAATAATAATAACAATAATTAGAATAATAATAATTATAATTAAAATTAGACCTACAGTTAATAATTTGGATCATTATTAGTACCATTATTCGTATTATTACCATTTTCTAATAATGATGACAAAAGTAATAATAATAATAATAATTGTAAAAAAATTACCATTACCATTTTTTGTATTGTTGTTGTTATTATTATTACTTTTATAATAACATTTATAATTACATTTTTATTAATACTATTGTTATATAAATAATTATCTTGATATATCGTTATTACCATTTTATAATATTAATAATAGTAATAATAACAACAATTATTATTACCATTATTTTTTATTATTACATTAATAGTAATTTTAATTATTATTATTAATACCATTTTTAGTATTATTATTAACATTTTTATATAGTTGTGTTATTACTTTTATAATAAAAAATACATTAAACATATATATATATATATATATATATATATATATATATATATATATATATATATATATATATATTACAATTTATTAATATTTTTATATTATTACTTAAATATTTTTATTGTTACCACTTTTATAACTAGAATTACAATTATTATTACTACTGTTATTGTTGTTATTACTATTATATTATTAACCATTTTGATCATTATTACCATTACATTACTACCATTTTTGGTATTATTATTACTATTTTATAATAATAAAAACAATAATAATTATAATAGTAATAATATTAATTATTTTTTTATTTATTGTTATTATCATTATTATTACTTTTATAAAAATTACAAGATTACAATTTTTATTAATACTGTTGTTATTGTTAATATTGTAAAAATAATTGTAATCGTTATTATTACCATGTTATAATAATAATAATAATAATAATAATAATAATAATAATAATAATAATAATAACAATAATAGTAATATTATGATTGTTGTTATTATTTTTTTATTTTTATTGTTATTATTATTATAAATACTAATTGTAATTATTTTCATTACCACTTATTATTATTGGTATTATAAATATTATGAGTAGTATTATTATTAACTTTTATAATAATAATAATAATAATAATAATAATAAGAATCACAATTATAATTATTATTATTATTGTTATTACTATTCTTTTTATTACTATTCTTATTATTTTATATTATTTATAATAAAAAAATTTATTAAAACTATTGTTGTTGTTATAATTATATGAATAATAATTTTAACGTTTTTACCATTTAATAATGATAACAACAACAACAACAATAATAATAATAATAATTTAATTAATTAATTAATTAATTTATTTATTTATTTATTATTATTATTATTATTATTATTATTATTATTATTATTATTAGCAGTACTAGCATAATTTTAATAATAATTGTAATTATTATTATTACCATGTTTTATTATTAGTATTATTATTATTGTTGTTATTATTATCATTATTATTATTATTATTATTTCATTATTTTATTATTATTATTACCAATATTATTACCATTATTATTATTGTTGTTGTTTGCAATATTAGGAAGAGATTTTCAAACATGTGATTAACTGTATATAATCCCACTGTTTCATCCTCCCAGCAGATCCAGGATGCTGCAGATCAGGGCATCATTTTTGTGGGCTTTATCCAGGAGCCTGCTGGCCTCCGTCCACACGCACTGCAGCTTGGAGAACCAGAGGAGGCCTCACTTTCCCTGCACTCCAGCCCCAGCTCGCTGCATGGCTCCGGGCTCACACCATGCCCCAGTCCCCTGGAGGAGCCAGAGCCGGAGCCGAACCCGGAGCTGGGGGATGAATCTGGAGCAGAAAACCAAGAACAGAAGCAGGGAGGTGAAGCTCTGAAAGCTGGTGGAGACGCTGGAGGTGATGAAAACTCTGAAACACTGACACACAACAACAACGACACGGACAAAAGCACAGACACAAGCCAGAAAACCAGCAGGCTGGCCCTCAATAAGAGTGGTAGGTTGATCATCTTTTTTTTTTTTTGTAGCAAACAATGTTTACAACTATTTTACAGGAATTTAAAGGATAACCCTTTAGTTTAGGTCACAATTCAAGCTATTAACTACACTGAAAACAACATGATTTATTGAATCTGCATTTTTAAGGTAAGTGGTTGCAAACTATTTTTATGGGCTGAACTTAAACAAATTGAGTTGAACATTACATTAGTTTTTTGAAATTCAGCCAATTTAGCAATGAGTTACTTTAAAAAAATGAGTAAATCCAATAAACCTTTTTTTTTGTGTACTGACTAATTCCCTGCATATTATTTAGATAATAACTGTTAATATAGTATCTTATAATTTGAAAGTAACACTTAAGTTTAGATCACAATTCACGGTGTTAACAAACCATTAACTCACACTACTAGATTATCAATTCATTAATAATTAGCTGTATATAAACCAGTAGTCAATAGCATGAATTATTATGACCTAAAGTGTTACCATTTAAATTGATGAATTTTTGTTTCAAATTATAATGCTGGGCAGGTCGGGGTGACGCTTACATCATATTTTAGCATAATTATTATCTTCACATTTTTGATAAATACTAAAAAGTTCATTGCATTTATTTGATTAAAAACACAATATTTGATAGATAGATAGATAGATAGATAGATAGATAGATAGATAGATAGATAGATAGATAGATAGATAGATAGATAGATAGATAGATAGATAGATAGATAGATAGATAAATAAATAAATAAAACTGAAAATAACTTCTCAATATTTTGGTGGAAAATGTTTTTGTGATTTTATTTGTTTGTATGTTTGTATTTATTTTGTCTTTATCCGTTTAACCTGATTTTTTTTTCTAAAGGAATATTTATATATATATATATATATATATATATATATATATATATAATACTTATATGCATTCATTTAATCAAAAACACAATATTTCATAGACAAATATATACATAAATACATTTTATTCTGAAAATAACTGCTACAACACTATAAACAATAACTACAATATAATACTGCTATGACAGGGTTTGAGTCTAGAGAAGAACGGTTCCAGAAACCAGGTTAAACAAAAACAAAATATTAAAATAAACAAATAAATAACAGGGTGGGAATGTGGTAAGAACTGAACACAAGGGTAAAAATGGCCGCGAGGGTTTTTCTTTTTCTGGATTGCTTTTGAAAACACGGCGGTGGTCAATTGGTGTTTTTGAAAACTATTGGTTGGGTTTAGGGAGGGAGGAGGAAGGGTCGGTCAGTTACTCAGTCAATCGGTCAGTCAGTCAGTCAGTCAGTCAGTCAGTCAGTCAGTCAGTCAGTCAGTCAGTCGACAGCAGCATTTGGTGGATTTACGCGAGAATAGCAAGCACGAATGGCACTCAATATAGAAATTTGAGATCTCAAAAAGCATACACAGCGGCCTCTGGCAAATTCGCGAAACAAAAACTGCAAAAACTCGTAGCTTCTGGGACGTATTTGGCGCTCTCCAGAAATGTATATAGGGGCACATTTTCAGAATGAGCCTGGGTTGAAATAAAAGGTTGAAATAAAAGGATAACATCGACATATTTTACGAAAAAAAATTGTCATACCAGCAAACTACTGAATAGAAATCATGCTAAGAAATAAATATATTGTGCATTTTGTTTCCAAACAGAAGACAATTGTATGTTTATATACTGTCATTCTTTTAAGTATTGGGCTAATTTCACATGTAGGTGGAGTCTTTTGTGCAGAAATAGTGTAATGGATGTTTCTACATCAGCCAAATGAAGTGTATTATTCATAATCTTGCTTAATTTTTATATCAAGAACATAATATTCACCCAATCTTAACACCAGCTGTTTTTCTTGGTAACAACATCTAGAAAGATCATAAATCATTTGTCACTTCTGAGTATCACACACTGTGAAAGCATCTCACTGGCCTTTTTTTTTTTTTTGTCCAAAAAACACACACACTGAATTTTCAAGCAATGCTTTGATGTACAAGATTGGGCAGGCTTGGCATTTACAAAAACCCACACAGCGGGCGCTAGATTAGGCTTTGTTCACCCTTCTTTTCCCCCGCCAGTAACCAGATGGCAAACCTCATTCCCAACATTAGCTAGGGAGACATTTTTTTCCTGCAGAAACTGTGGCATTGTGCACGGAGTTCGCTGTACCATGTGAATGATGCATGCTGGGAGTCCTGTGCCGGCAGCCCGAGTCTCCATCTGGATGTGGAAGTGACATCGTCAGCAGTCAATTTTCCAGCCCGGGCTCATTGGAGATACGTGCCCAGGGCTACATTTTTGAGAACCGAGAAATATTGGGTGTGCGTAAGACTGTCTTGAAGCCTTTATAATCATGACATCAAGTGTCAATCGCTCAGTTATGCCATTGTGGATGCAAAGATAACATTGTTTGTTATGACAACCTGACATAAATACATCACAACCTTATTATGACAGATTTATGACAAGTTATTGTATGTCGTCTTGGTAATGTCAAGTCGTCACGACATAGATGAAGACTGCTTGTGATGTATTTGTTTATGATGAGTTGTCATAACAAAAAATGTCATGTTCGAAATCAAAATGACATAACTGAGTAAACGACACTTAATAACAGTTGTCATAAGCATGCATAAAATTTCATTCACATTCATGAAGTGTCATGTCATGATTATAAAGGTTTCATGACAACTCCAAGTCTGGAGCAGTTATGTATCTTAAAACAAATGCAGTTTGGTTCTTCAGCAGCCTTCAAAGCACACATTGCCACCAAACTCATCCTAATCAAACTAGAGCCACTCCAGATTATGATTGCAGCATTCACACTAGCAGAAAAGACTATGAACTGCACACCTACAGTGTGTATGCAGTCAGAGTTACCGGACCGTAGCCTTAATAAGAGTGTTCTGTAAGACAATCAAAAACAAATTGCTTAAGGGGGATAATAATATTGACCTTAAAGTGGTATAACACATTTTAAAATGCTTTTATTTTTGCAGAATTAAAACAAATAAGACTTTCTCCAGAGGAAAAAATATTATTGGAAATACTGTGAAAAATTCCTTCTTCTGTTAAACATCATTTGAGAAAATAAAAAAAAATTGACAAGAGGGTGAATAATTTTGACTTCAACTGTATTTCTCGGTTCTCAAAAAAGGTTGCCCTGGGCACATTTACTCCAATGAGCCTGTGTTGCAATTTTCCTACCACGCCTCACGCTACACCAGATTCTCTCATTCAGCCACCAGATGACAGCTGCCAGGAGTCCTCTGGCAGAGCGCTGCGTCTTTATGACTTATCGCCACTGCTGATAAACATAGTCATTCTTCGCTCAAATCCCTCTAATGCTCCGGGTGAACATCTATAAAACATAATGGCGTTGGTCAGCGGTGTGAAATGCTTAGAGCTCAGATGAGGTGAACGTTTGTCAAAAGGGTTTTTTACGTCCCACGGTGCAGCTGTAAAGCCATTGAGCCAAACCTGCATTCAGAAAAGGAGGAGGGGAAAAAAGCAGATTTATTTGGATAGTTCGTTTCACACAGAGTGATTTCAGAGTGATTTACTTGCTAATATGAAAATTAAAGAGGCGATATTCTGGGTTAATATTAAAAGATAGAGTTTTAAGCTGAAAGTGGAGTCAACTGATACGGCATTTATTTAAGTGATAACAGAGCTGGGGTTTGGTTCCCAAAATCATAGTTTGAACAACCATTGATGATTAGCGGATAATTTTTTATAATTGAATTGATCAGGTATGCGATGCAATGAAATTATTTGATTTGTGCTTAGTATTATACAAATATTTATTCATTCATTTTCCTTCGGGAAAAGGCTGATTTGTACTTCTGCATCAAGTGATCAACGTGACCCATGGCACCTGATGTGTGCGTAGTCTTGCATTTATACTTTCAACACCTGCTCATTTTTAAAACGTAGTCTTGTGGACGTTTCTGGAGACCACAGAATACGTCCCGGGATGTACTTATTTTTGCTGTTTTTGTGAATCCCTGAGAGGCCGCTGTGTGTGCTTTTTCGTACCTCAAATGTCTCTTGCGAGTGCTGTTCTCGCTTAAACCCACCAGAGGTCACTGTTGACCGACTGAATGATTGATTGGGCAACCGGCCAATCGACTGACCCACCCTCTTCCTTCCCCAAACCCAACCAATTTTACCAATTGACCCACCCACCCACTTACCTCCCTTAACCCAAGCAATGGTTTACAAAAGCCGACCAGAAAAAGAAAAGCCCTCGTCTGATTTTTACCACATTTTCGGATTTTACCACATTCTCACTCTGTAGTTCACTTATTCGTTTTATTTTTTGGATTCTGTTTTTGTCTTATCTGATTTCTGGAACCGATCTTCCCCGGACTCGAACCTGGTCGTCACGGTCAACTCCTCTCTGCATCTCTTATACAACCCAGGCTCATTCTCGAAACATAGTCCCGCGGACGTTTCCTCCCGCCGGAGGCCGCTGTCGAGTGACCGTCTTTCTGATTGACTGAATGATTGACTCGGCCAACCCACCCTCCTCCTCCTCATTCCCTAAACCCAACACGGAGGTGAGCTGTCAAAAGAGGAGCGCAAAGAGGAGTGGCCTCACACCGCCCCGTAGCGTTCGCTGAAAAAAATAAAATGCAGCCATACAAACCTCCGGCTAACGTCCGACTACGTTTTCAGAATGAACTTGGGTTGCTCTTATAAGCTCGCTTTAAATGTCCTTATAACTGATGAATACAGCATTTGTAGCTGCAGTTATAAACTGCTTACTTATGTTTGTTAATGTAGACTTAATGCTTAACAAATCATGTATTCACTATTGGCTAATGCTTAATAAATGGTTCATAATGTGTATTTATTATAAAGTGTTACCTTATTTTTCACAAAAAATATAAAATCTTTTCATAATAAGAAAGTATATTTACTTATTTATTATTATAAATACCATATATATATATACCATTCTTATTACAAACAAACTTAA